GGAAAAGCCCATAGACAAAAGACAGATGGAATAAGTTAAAGAAAGCTGGCAAGAAAGAAGCCAAGCTAAGGCCAGATGTTCATAAGTATAAACCTCTGTGTGTGATTTATTTGGGAGCTGGGTCGTGCCCCCCCCCCCGAGAAAAGAGCAAAAGCAAACAACAATAGAAACCATTATAGACCATGTGGTCATAGAAGAGATTAAATTATTTGACAGGAATACAAAAAGCCTTATCTATATTCAGGAAACAGAACACTTCTTTTAAAACTTTCCCTGAAACAAAAGTCTAAGCCTAGGTAACATCACCGATGAAGTCTATAAAACACAATGGGAAAACTATTGTCATTATGAAACAATATCCTTTAGAAAAATAAAATTCATCATATGAGGCTCCATTACACAAATACCAAACCAGACAAAAACATGAGAAAAAAATTACTATTGGTTTTCTTCCTCATAAAACTAAGTTGTCAAAATTATTAGTAATTCATTGATCAATAAGTGTTAAGTTAGAGTTAGATGACTATGAGCATTCTTAACTATCAAGTAAGTGAAAATTGAAACTACTTTGACATCCCATGTCACCTTGGCTTTGACCAAGAAAACAAATGACACAAAATGCAGGCAAGGATGTGGAGAGACTGGAACAAGCTACTCATTGCTGGTAGGAATGCAAACTAGGATAGCTGTTTTGGAAATCTTGTGGAGGTTCCTCAAAACATTGAATTCTCTCCCCCCTCACACACACACACACACAATTTGTTTTCCTCAGGAGACAGAGGCTAGTGGATCTCTGTAGGTTTGAGGCCAGCTTGGTCAACATAGTATATCCCAGGAAAACCAGAGCTATATAGAGAGACCCTGTCTCAATAATAATAACAATAATAATAATAATACAAGTACAATATTACCCAGCTATGCCACACCTCTCAGTTACTCAAAGGATTCTACAGCCTGCCACAGCTAGATAATTTACACATCCCTGGTTTGTTTTTTTTTTTTTTGCTGCATTATTCATAATAGCAAGAAAATGGAACCAGCCTAGATGTCTCAACAAAAGAATGGATAATTAAAGTGTAGTGTATGCCCATAAAGGAATTTTACTCAGCTGTAAAGAAAATAAATTTATGGAATCTTCTGAAAAAGGAAAACAGATGAATCTAGAAACTGTTAAGTGGTAAACTCAGAAGACAAAAATTACATCTTCTCATGTATGGATCCCAACTTTTAATGTTTGTGTAAATGTACATAAAGAGCTGTCTGTCAGCAGCTAACAGTTAGATAAAGCCCTGTGAGTCCCTCCCTGATCCATAATTCACTATGATAGGCCAGTCTTTCATAGGATCATTATAGACAGCTGATACAAGTTCAGGACTGCGGTGGCTGTGCCATACCCAGGAGACAGCGATTCACAACTCCAACTCCTGATTTCCAGCTCTTAGATTCTTTCCGCTTCCTTCTCCACAATATCCCTGAGCCATAAAGGAGGTAGCACAAATGTCCTTGTTAGGAGCAGTGATTGTCTTCTGCTGTGTATCCACTGAGACACACACTAGGATAGTTCCAAGCCCATGTTATTAAATATAGATGATCCTGGTTAAATGTAATGATTCTAAATAAATAAAAAAAACCATAAATATGGGGAAGGGACATGTGGAGGATTTTTATAGGAGTGAGAGGGAGATTAAAAAGAGTTGAAGATTGAATATAGTCATAAAAACGTACTTTCTACATCATGAAATTATAAAAAGAGCATATTCAATCAATTTATTTTAATTCAATAGAGGGGTGTGATAGTGAGTTAGGCTATGAAACTAGGTATAAGACCATGTGAGCAAGAGTTCTGGGAAATGTAAAGAACATAGGTGACGTGAAAGTAGAAGGGAGGGGACTGGGGGTGGCACGAGGGGAAAGGGAAATTTGAGAGAAACAGAGAGACGAGAAACAAAAACAAATCTTATTTGAGATTGCCATAATGAAATTTAATTCTTTGCATTACAATAAAATTTGTACTAAAATAAAAATTTTCAAACGTTGCAGTCAAATAAGAAAAATGTAATGTGTATTATACAGCAGGGTGAGTAGACATTTACTTCCCCTAAAATATCTGGGAGAAAGGACTTTGACTATGTAAACCATAAGTGGTGAATCTTTGAGGAGTTAGAAATGTTTGCCCTGATTTAACCAGTTCACAATATACTTGAATCAAAAACACACATAGTACCCCATATCATGAACAATTTTATGACTCTTATTTTCAAAATTAGCACTTAGAATTTATAAGCATATAAAGGAAGAGTATATCTTGACCAAATAAGGATGTGTAAGGATATGAAGTGTTGGTTTAATGTGTGAAAATCATAGAGGACAGAGAGATAGCTCAGTGGTTAAGAGTGTTTGTTGCTCTTCCAAAGGACCTGAGCTGTTTCAACGCTCACATCAAGTTGCATCCAGCTACCTCCAACTCCAGTTCCAATATATCTGACATTATTCTCACACAGAGACAAACCCAAAATCATATAAAATAAAAATAAAACGTTAACATTTGAAAACTAGCCAAAAAGCCTCACCACGTTAGCACATCAAAAATGATATATGTATCAATCATCTCAGCAGATGAGAAAACCTGGCAGTGAGAAAACTGCCAAGGAACTAGAAATGGAAATTGACTTTCTAAATCAGAAAAAAAAAATCACCCATGGAAAACCCACAGCAAGCCTCATATTTAATAATAGAATTCAGAACTATTTCCCATACAGTTGGGAATAAGGATAGTATGTTTGCTCATGCATTTTTACTAAAAAAATCTACCTAGTGCATTCTTTAAAAAGTATTCATTTTTAGATTAAAACATAATTACATAATTTCCCCTTCCCTTTCTCCCCTCCAAAACCTCTCATATATCTCTCCTTGCTCTCTTTGGTCCCTTTTTTCATTAACTGTTTACATACATATAAATATATATTTCTAAATGCGTAAATACAACCTACTTGTCTGTATATTGCTTGTTTTTATGGTTTCCCTGACAACCAATCGGTGTGCTCTTCTCTGTGGAAGATTATATCTACTTCTCTCAGTATTCCTCGGTTGCCTGTAGTTCTTTGCCTAGGGCTGAGGCCTCCTAGGCATTCCTTCATTCATGATTAGCATGTTTATTGCTGTCTTCCTTTTTCATCTCATGGTTAGGTAGCCATGTTCATGGGTGTACATTCTAGCATTCCTAGGAGATACAGTCTCATAGAAAACTGCCTGTTCCACTAGCTCGTACAGTCTTTCCACCCCCTCTTGTGAAATGGCCCAGGAGACTCAGGTGCAGCATTGTATTGTGGAAGTGTCGTGTGGGGCTAGGCTTTGTGACTCTGCATTGTGATTGGTTGTCCTTTTCTGTAGTGGTGTCAGTCTTTTGCAAGGAAACATTTCCTTGATGGGGAGTAAGGACTATACTTTTCTATGAGTCTGAAGACAAATATTGAGAAGGTCGTTAAGGACTGTGCTGGTTTAGTAAAGCAGTGGTTGTATGCTCTCCTCCAAGACCGATGACTTCACTAGCCCTAGATAGTTAAGGGCAGGTTAGGCAATTAATCCTAAGGGCAATTAGAGAGCTGTTGGTTACTGCCAAAGTGTGCATATCACTTCTGCAGCCCCCTGTTGTGCTCATCATTGTTTTAGTTCATAGGTGACGCAGCTGGGCAGGACTGTTGGTTGCTTCCCTCGTTTGGAAATACCAAGGCTACGAAAGCTAGTCTTTAAGAGAGAAGTTTTGAGATCATTTCCAGCCCAGGGGTCTGTCTCTGGGTTTTGTGTCTGAATTGTGTGGTATCCTCACAATAGGAACGTACCTTTCACCTCTAGGGGGCAACCAAGGGCAATAGCAATAACATAGCCTGTATGTTCGGGCAGTCTCTTGGACAACCCTATCCAACAATTGAAAAGAAGGAGGTTTCTCATACCTGGTGTTGGGGTCTTTTGGCTCTTGGAGGGAGCATCGTCAGCCCAGACGGAAAAATTTCATTTATACATCAATTTACATGTATTATAGAAATTTGTAGCTTGTATAGTATGGTTCTTTATGATTTTTTTCAGACATACTGTTATTTTACCTTCCTTATGCCTTCTTTTGTATATATTTCTCTCCCACCCATTAATTAAAATCCCTTTTTTTCAATCTGATCTATAAATTACTTTTACCCTTCTATTTTCCTCTGTATTTTTCCACACTCCCTCCCCCTACAATATCCATTTATACTTTCATGGTTTCTATAGTTACTCTAAGTTATGTACTCATAGCTGAAGGTTTCCATCTAGATGCCTCAGCTGAGAGGAAGGATGTGACATTTGACTCTCTGGGTTTGAGTTACCTCATTCACTATGAACTTTTCTCATTCTATTTAACTGCACATTTCATAATTTCATTTTTCTTCACAGCTGAATAGTATTCCATAGTGTATATGAATCATATTTTCATTATCCATTCATCAGTTGAAGGTCATTTAGGTTGTTTTCATTTTTATTTATTGTGAGTCAAGTACCAATGAATATGGCTGGCAAAGTGTATGTAGAGTAGGATGTTGAGTCCTTCGGGCATATGCCAAAAAGTGATATGCCTGAGTAAAATTTATTTTTATCTTTCTGAAAATTATCCACACTGATTTCCACAGCAGCTGTATCAGGAAAGCAATGCTTGTCTCAGAAGGAGTCAATGGAAAGAGAATAAAAGATAGGATGAATCATAACCAGAGAAAAGAACATCATGTAAGTTTAAATGTGCATATAAAACTCAAGGAATCGAAAGCTGGTGACAGCTTCCAGGAAGAAACTGTCATTTCTCCTGCTTATCACGAAAAGGAACAGAGAGGGAAAGAGCTTCAGAACAAACAACTGTTGTCCATAGATTTACTATATAAAGTGTATTTTAAGTAATAATGATAACCATAAATTCACTTCATTTCAGAATAATTATTTTCCATGCTATAGATGTGAGTGAAAATAACACAAGGGACTTTGAACTGCGATGGCTTTTATTCATTGTCCAACCTGCATGCTCAGTCTCTTGGGATCCTTTTCCTTTAATCTGCTCATGAAAGTTCTTCCAGGTAGCATCTCATTTTCTAAAGACTGCACTTCTAGAATCTCCTAGCGTATGGTTGCAAGCTTAAGTTAGGACCTGGCTATAACTCAGGAGGAGGGGTTTTTTAACTCTATTTTAATGGTACCTTCTATTTTGAAAGTGGAGATCGGCTCCTCCTTGCTCCTAGACACATCGGCAGGAACAGGATCTGCTCCTTCAGAGTTTCTATCACCTGTCAAAGAAGACTCTAATTCTTTCTCTGAGACATTTGCTACTGGGGACAATTGACGTTCTTTTAGTAGAGCCTTATCTTCAGGGGTTTGTTCAGAAGATGCAAGTGGAGCTTCAGCTGGTGTCTCTTCCGTGGGCAACTCTTGAATAGGAACCGCGTCAGTTTTGGAAGGCTGTTTAACAACAGGAGACTCTTCTGCAGGGGTCTCAGGTGGTGGGAGCTGAACTTCAACCGAAGCCTTTTCAAGGCTCTCCTTAACTGATGTCAACTGGGCTTCCTTAGTAGTTTCTTCTATAGTATCCCCTTCAGATGAAGGAAACCCAATTTCAGCTGCAGGGCCCTCTTCAACGGGGACCACTTTGGTAAAGACCTCCTCAACTGGTAGAGATTGAACTTCAACAGGATCCCCTTCTAGAGGAGTCTCTTCAGTTTGTGGAATTCGAACCTCTGCAGGGTCCCCATCTACAGGAGCCAACGATAGAGGCTGAACTTCAGAAGCCTCTTCTGCAGGAACCACTTCAGCTGCTGGAAGCTGAACATCAGCGGGGGCTTCTTCTATTGGAGCACCCTCAAATGATGAAGGCTGGACTTCAGCAGTGGCCTCTCTTGCAGGGACCCCTTCTGCAACATCCTCCTCAGCTGGCAGTGGCTGCATTTCAACAGGTAAATATTCTAGAGGGGTCTCTTCAGCTTGTGGAATCACAACTTCTTCTTCTAGAGGAAGACCTTCAAGAGGAGCCCTCTCAAGGGAAGGAGGCTGAACTTCTGTAGGAGCCATTTCTGCAGAAGCCCCATCAGCTGGTGGAAGTGGAACTTCTGTGGGACCCTCCTCAGTTGGTGGAGGTGGAACTTCTTCTGTGGGACCCTCCTCAGTTGGTGGGGGTGGAACTTCTTCTGTGGGACCCTCCTCAGTTGGTGGGGGTGGAACTTCTTCTGTGGGACCCTCCTCAGTTGGTGGAGGTAGAACTTCTTCTGCAGGGGCCTCCTCAGTTGGTGGAGGTGGAACTTCTTCTACAGAGGCCTCCTCAGTTGGTGGGGGTGGAGCTTCTACAGGGGCCTCCTCAGTTGGTGGAGGTGGAACTTCTTCTACAGGGGCCTCCTCAGTTGGTGGAGGTGGAACTTCTTCTACAAGGGCCTCCTCAGTTGGTGGGGGTGGAGCTTCTTCTACAGAGGCCTCCTCAGTTGGTGGGGGTGGAGCTTCTTCTACAGAGGCCTCCTCAGTTGGTG